ATTAGAGTCGTTGCAAATGAGTGCCAGGAAAGACTAATGTTCTGAATATTACAAAGCAGGACACTGGGGGAGGTACTGTGCAGAATGATGAAGAAGAAAAAATGTCAGACAGCAGAATGTTTGTTCTGTTTGTATTTACAATGCTCAAAAGTCTTTATGCTAGAAGATTGAGTGTCACTCTCTTTTCTTAGGATTCGTCAACGTTTATAAAGCCATATCAAAGAATATGGAAAATAATTGCAAACCTTCATTATAGTGAATTTCTATTTGCATATTTTGCCGGCTAACTACTGAGGAGTACCGAATAGGTCGAAACTAGTAGTTTGTCTTTACTAGTGCAACTGTCTCTTACTGCTTTAGTCCAGTGACACTTCATCCTATACTTGATTTTACAATATGTAGCACTGAGTCATCAAGCGATGAGCACCGAATGCATTTCAGTCGACGAGCTACTTAAACAGTTTTCATGGTGTGCACAGTTTACCGATTTTAAATATCTCTATGTTCTCCAGGCTGAACTGTTTAACTGAAGGATTTTCGTTGTCTTTGTTCGACGACATCTTCAATGTTAATTTCATACAGAGAGGGGGTTTTACAATCAATCAGTCACGAATGAAATAACCGTCTTTTCATTATCACTCTGAATATTATGGTTTTCTTCAGAAGTTTCACTAGCGTTTAATCCAGTTTTGTTGGTACTGACATTAAAGACAAAGACGTAAACAGTGAAGCAATTTTCTTTTCGACGATTCATTTTCATAAGCTGAACAATCCTAATTGTAATACTTTTACGAGTTCAACCACGGATTAATATCGGCTAGAGAACTATTGAAAACCGGAATTGGAGTTGAACTGGACAGCTGTTTCATCCTAGTGCCTGAGAATCATCAACAGGACGCACACACTGAGGTGTGAACGTAGGACCAACCGGTTACAAACCAAGCTACCTCGTGTATCATTCAGCCACTGAGACACGATTTAATGGCCAGCTCATGAATTCTAACTTCTACCAATTCGTGATTTTGGTACGACCACCAACCAATGTCATCTGTGACGCATGCATCCTCGCACGTGACTGGATGGACCTCACTGGTCACGACTTCTCATTGTCAGTGTACACGCAACCGCAGATAAAAGTATTACAATTAAAGATTAAACAGGGACACGGGCGAATGGTATACGACTTTTCTGTGACCGGAAGGTCCTGTGTTCGAAGCTCAGTGGGTGCGTACTGCCGATGATTCCCAAACCAGGAAGAAACAGCTGTCCAGTACTCAGGAATTTCAGGTGGTTCCCTGACTGATATCAATCCATGGTCAAACTCGTAAAAACCAATTTTATTCCTTATAAACCAACTCTTGAAAACTATTTATATTTAATAAAGAATTCATAAGATCAATCGGACATTGGTAAAATTCGTCCCCGAAAAACACATTACGTAATGTAAGGTGTAATCTAGAGAGGGATGACTAATGGGGAATTAGAGGAAAATGTTGCCATGATGTAATAAGTGAGAGAAAATGACTAACCTAGATTGTTGTGTATAATGGAAAAGAACTAATGGAAAGACGATAAGGTATTTTTATAAGATCTGTATCAAAACACAATGCTATCAATAAACAGTAGTAGAGGGACAATAAAATAAGGATGATGAGAATAAAAATAATAGTAAACTTGCATAAAAGAGGAAGCAAAATTATAGTAAGAACGTTACTCTAGCAACTGTAGAACGAGTGAATGTATGTAACGCTTTTGAATGCAGAGGTCCGGTTTCAGATCCTGAATAGCTAATGATTCAGCTATGTACAGATAGTGTATGCGAAGTCCCTTTGTAAGATATTGAAGGACTGTGTGTAGCACTTTGAAGCATTCATGTAGGGGTGCTCGAATTCCAGGGTTAACAAAGTGTTCGATGATGGGGCTGCTACTTATTAATATTACGTCACCCCAACTTCTCCTTTTCTAATTTCCAGTTAGTCACCCCTTCTAAATTACACCTCATACGTTTTGCGGGGACAAATTTAACCAGTATCTGATTGGTCCGATGAATTCTTTGTTAAATGTAATTAGGATTGTCCAGCTTTTGAAAATAAATCGTTTTCTTCTCAGTTTACGCCTTTTTCTTATGATTCACTATTCGAATATTTCCTTCACTAACATTTAACACGATATTTAACTATTCTGTCGCATAACATTTTTGTTTATCGATGAATTTGACCAACATCCACATATCTATGAAGTGCAAAGGGATCTGAGGACCAGGCTACTTAGAATTCTCTAGTGCATTCTTAGTGTTTCCGTTCATTATACGTTTACATTTATCCAGAATAGTTGACATCCGTAACTGTCAGCATTAACTGATATGGTTGAATGTATATTGTACATATTGATTACTTGTATTGATTCTTGAATAAAAAGATGAAAGAGACATCCGTCCAAGTCACTTAAGTGATATTTGTAGTTCACATAATCTGATTTATTACCTACATTAATTTCAAATGGAGGATATCATCATGAGCTGACTGACATCAGTTACAGAACCACTGGAAAATCCGGGAGCACTGGACAACCGTTTCGTTCCATTTTGGGAATCTTCATCAGTACGCTACCGCCCACCAGGACCTTCTGGTTACAAAACGAGCTCGTAGACTATTAAGCCACTAGGACCCGATCCAATGACAAGCCCATGAGTTCTAGCTTCTGCCAATTCATGGATCTCAGTGGCTCGATGGTCTACGAGCTGGCTCACCTTGTAACCAGAAAATCCTGGATTCGAACCCCGGTGGTTGCTTACTGACGAAGAGTCCCAAACTAGGACGCAACAGTTTTCCAGTACTCCCAGGTTTTCCAATGGTTCTCTAACTTATGTCAGCTCATGATGAAATCACCCATCCCATCAAACTAAATCCCTACAAAAACCGATGCTTGAAGATATTAATTTCATCTTGCTTTAGCCAACATTAGATATGTCATTTAGTGTAGCATCAAATTACTTCGTATAACTCGGTTAATAATAATTTTTCTCCTACCGGAAGTGTGATTATGCAATTTTTTTCCATAGACACTCTAAGTACTTTGAATGGTCCTCATTACTGGAACCTATGAAGTACACTACATCATATATATAACTCATTAAATAATTGTTACTGCACTGGTTTAAAATTTGTTGTTCCATTTACAATGTTTAGTTGCACGTATAACTCTTTTAGCTTCAAAGCAAGGCCGATTGGAAGTGATAATGACATCTATCTAAACAGACTTCCGTTTTTATCTGTTTCGTAGTAAATGTCTGATTTTCCCCATTAAATGACTGAACCAATTAGTACGGATGTTCCAGTGGTGTATGAGGGTTAGCTTGAGGTGATTTGGTGGATAGTGGCTGGCAGTAGAATCTAGGATGCACATTCTGTCGTAGCCGGGATTCATCGGCTGGATTTACATTTTCCAGTAAGCGATTCTGTTCCCACTAAGACTCGAATCTAGTATTCGTCGTTTTAAACTTTGAAATGTTATCCACGAGACCACTTGGGTCGTGAGAGCCAAGCTTGTCCCAAATAGTAGAACAAAATCAGCCTTCTGGGATTCTGCTGCTCGTCACAATCCACCAAAAAACTTCAGAATTTCTGTTTTTTACAAAGCATCATTATTTTTACAGTTTTAGGCGGTAAAAACGAAATGTACTCATCACAGGAGGACGGGTTCATAGTGTGTCCTCGGCTCTATCACTCACTATCACTACTACTTATAATAATAATATATTCACTTTTGACCTTGACTTAGGATGGGACATTGCTCATTCAGCATCTTGATGTCAGTTACTAACGTCATTATTTATTATGTTAAATACCTTATCAAGTGTTAATATATGTGTAAAACTTGGGCACTGTGGCACTAAGTAATTCCATATTAGTTTGTTTATTAAATATATCACGCATAGTGAAACAGTATTATTTACTGGATGACACAGTTTCGAACACAGTCTGTTATTGTTCATAATCATATCAATTATTATCACACAACTTAGAAACTTGAGTTTTATAGCTTTATTCTCCTATTTGTCGTCGTTAGGGTAGTAGACGTTTCCAGATGTCTGCCTGGACAGTTGTTGAATCATTCCTACTACGCGTGTTTGCAGTTGATTCGATAAATAATGCCTCAGTCAGTTATCAGTCTCTGTCTCCACCCAGTGACATTAGATTTCAAAATTGTCATCTTATCCTATGCATCCTATTGTATGGTTGTGTGTAATTGCATGTAGTGAGTGCTACAGCTGAACTGTTCTCTAGATTTCTTATCTTATTCGGGTCAACCAATCTAGATTTCGCTGCTAGGTTTTTATGCTCCGCTGGTCTGACTCACTGCCCCTGTTCTACTACTTTGACCTATGTATTTGACCTGACAACCATTGCAGCAGAGGTATTAAATAAACTAAATTATTTTGTTTTAAAGCCTCCAAAGGACTGATCCTTTAACCGCCAAAACGTGTTTCTAATTCCTGTAAATAACACTATTTCACTGTGTGATATGTCTAACAAACAAACTAACACGGAATTACCTTATCAGGTATACCGCATTTTCAAATAGTTTTCATTTTCGGTTTGTTTTTTTTATTTTCAGTGTATCACATACAATTCCAATTCACAAATACACAGTTCTCAAGAAGACAATCAGCAACAGCAGCAGCAGCAGAGCAGCAATAGTCATTTCTACGGTGAACAACAACACTCATCAACTATGCAACACGATAGCTGTTTTGTGGCGAATTCAGCCACGGGATATATTTTCAATAATCATGGAAGTTGTAAAGTTAGAAGAGCTAAATCTCACACGTATACTAGTACGCATAATCCACATAAAGTGTGTTATTCTCTTGGTGAGAAAGAGAATAACACTGCCGATGATCAAAGAAATCGCCGTGAAACATGCTTTGAATCTTTTAACTGTGATCGTGGGAGTACAAATTTAACAATCACTGGTGGTAATAATAATAATAATGATAATGATAATAATAATGGTCACAATAATGATAACAATAACATGAGACTATTTCGTAGATCGATTAAAAAGTCTTTTCGACGCACAATTTCATTTATCAGTCCAGAAAGAAGGTTCTTGTCAGGCAAAGAGAAATCAAATGTTGACACTAGTGATCATATTAGCCACATGTTGTCACCACGTGGTGATATTAGATCACCGAGATTGGAAAGAAAGTTCAGTAGAATGTGAGTTGTACTCAATATGTATAATTTCCTACATATTTTATTATTACTAATTTAATTGTGATTTCCATTTTGGTGTGTCTACAATATGAAATTAAAAGAGAGTTGCAGCGAAGAAAATTTTCTTTTAGACGGAGTCATTAACTAGGCTGTACTTCTGTATATTTATAGTAGATGGGTGAGAAAGTGCCAGAACTATTTCCGGTCAAAAGTCAAATTAATAAAATTACAAGTAGCAATTAAAGAGGCCATAATAAAATCATAATTAAAAGAATTACCTGTGTATAATGGCAATGGCAAGGACAAGGGTTGCATAGAATCCTACACAAGATTCGATCAAACCTATCAAAGTTAGTAAAATTAAGGCATCTGAGCATAGCTGAGGCACTGGCCATCTAAAAACTCAAACCCACTCTATCTATTTCAAAGAAATACATCCAAACCTTGTCCTTGTCATGACCATCAAAAACAGGTGATTCTTTTACTAGTAACTATCTCAGTACCTTTATTATCCGAACTTCCTGTTTGTTCGTGTTATTTTTAACTTTTTCTTAATCCCTATTTACACTACCATATTTTCATGTTCGAACTTTCTGCCTATTATGCCATTTTACTATTTCTACATATTATTATTATTGTTCCCTTGGGTTCCTAGTGGAACATAGGGCTTCAACTACACTTCTCCACTTGCTTCTGTCTTTTGCTGTACTTTTCACTTGCATCCATGTTAGTCAATACTGTTTCAATTCCTCTTCACACGATCTCCTCCATTTCACATTTGGATGTCCCACTCGCCGCTTCCTTTTCGGCTTACATTCGAGGGCCTGATGCGCGATGTCACCCAGTGGCATCCTCAGCGAGTGTCCAATCCATCTCCACTTCCTCCTGCATATTTGTTGGACGATTGGTTCCTGTTTTGTTTGTTCCCATAGCTTCTTGTTTGTGATTCTTTCCGGCCATCTAATCTTCAGTATGGAGCGAAGACAGTTGTTGATAAAGGTCTGCAACCTGTTGAAAATATTCTTGGTGACCCGCCAAGTTTCTGATCCGTAAAGCAAAATTGACTTGACGTTTGTATTGAAAATTCGAATTTTGTTGTTGGTGCTGAGTGACGAAGATCTCCAGATTGGTTTCAGGTTGATGAATGTGTTTCTCGCCTTCCCGATTCTCGATTTGACATCCTCGTCCGTGCCTCCTGTGGTTGAGACAATGCTCCCTAGATAAGTGAAAGAAGTAACCTCTCTCAAATCCCTCCCGTTGAAGGTGATTGGCGCTGGATGTAGCTGCTGTTGTTGTTGGTTGGTTGGTTATTTTCATAACCTCCGTCTGGTCTATGTTCACCTGGAGGCCTGTCTTTGCTGCTTCTTCAACCAGTTTGTCGGTTTTTGCTTGTAAGTCTTCGATTTTGTGTGACATCAAACATAAATCATCCATGCGCGAAATCCAGGTCTTCTAGGTTCTTCCCGTCGGTCCAGGATATCCCTGTCTTCTCGTTTCCCACTGTCTGACGCATAATCCAGTCCACCACAATTAGGAATATCATTGGTGATAATAAGCACCCTTGTCTGACTCCTGTGTTTACTCCAAACGCCTCGCTGAGTTTTCCGTTGTGGATGACTTGACATGTGCCGTTGTCGTACAGTTGTTGAATAAGGTTGATGAATATTTGGGGTACGCCGTAGTACTCGAGTAGTTTCCAAATTACTTCGCGGTCAACGCTGTCGAAGGCCTTCTCAAAGTCTATAAAGTTGGGGTGGAGGTTTGATTGCCATTCCATGCTTTGTTCGATGATAATGCGTAGAGTTGCAATTTGTTCAGAACATGATTTGCCTTTCCTGAATCCAGCTTGTTCTGGTCGGAGTTCTGTATCCAGTGCGTCCTTGATTCTCTCCAGGATGATGCGACTCAGGATTTTGCTTGGCGTCGACAGCAGAATGATTCCTCGCCAGTTCTTGCAGAGTCCCAGGTCGCCCTTCTTTGGTAGTTTCACTAGGTAACCTTTCCTCCAGTCAGTAGGCACCTTTCCCTCTTTCCAGACCTTTCGCAGTAGTGGAGTCATCATATCTGTTGTCATCTCTGGGTCAGCTTTCAGTGCTTCAGGGGGTATTCCATCTGGTCCAGATGCTTTTCCAGCTTTCAGAAACTTGATTGCATTCATGACTTCAGTTTTCGTTGGAGGATTGGTGTCAACTTGCAGTTGTGTACGTGCTGTTGTTGGTATTACTGGACGGGTTGTAGGTGGTGGTCGATTCAAGAGTCCTTTGAAGTGGTCCGCCCATTGTTTAATCTGTCTTTCTTCTTTGGTAATTGGGTTCCCTTGGCTGTCTTTTATAGGTTTCACTTGTGTTGATCTCTTCCCGGATAGAGACTTGGTTATCTGATATAGTGTCCCCAGGTCCCTTTTGCCTGCTGCCTTCTCAGCTTCAGTGGCCAGGTTGTCGTAGAATTGTCTTTTGTCCTTCCTGGCACTCTTCTTCACTTCTTTGTCCAGTGCTGTGTAAGTTGAGCTCAGCGTCTCCTTCTCTTGTCCGTCTTTGCATTGAATCATTTTCTCTTTCACCTTTCTCCTCTCCTCTATTAGTTTCCAAGTGTCTGTTGAGAGCCATTCCTTGTCTTGTTTCTTCTTTCTTCCTAAAACCGTTGAGCACGTCTCGTTGAAAATTACCTTCAGAGAGTTCCAATGGTCTTCCACGGATGATTCCTCAGTGGTGCCACGTAGTGTTTCCTGCTTTGTTCTAACAGTTGCAGTGAAAATGTCCTGTGTGATTGTGTCCTTCAGTTTGTGAGTGTTGAACTTGTATTGTGGCCTATCCCCAGGTATCCTCGAGGCTTTCAGCTTCACCTTGAAAGTCCCTTGTACTAGATAGTGGTCTGAACCCACATCTGCTCCTCTCCGCGATCTTGTGTCCAGTATGCTCCGTCTCGACTTCCTTGAGATTGAAATGAAGTCTATCTGGTTTTCGGTGTGTCCATCTGGTGAAATCCATGTTGCCTTGTGTATATCCCTGTGTTTGAACACACTGCCACCAATCACCAAATCATTGAAGGCGCAGAAGTCTGAGAAGAGTTCGCCATTTTCGTTCATTTCACCGAGGGCCTCACGACCCATGGTGAGTTCTCTTCCTGTATTGTCTCCTCCCAGTTTCGCATTCATGTCGCCCATCAGGATTTTGATATCGCTCTTTGGGACGTTGTCCATTACTGTTTGTAGTTGACTGTAGAAATCCTCCTTCTTCTCATGTTCTGAGACGTTTGTAGGCGCGTAGCATTGAATGATTGTAACCTTTTTTCCTTTTGAGTTGAACCTGGCTGTCATTATCCTGGAGGAGATTGGTTCCCACTGCATGAGAGCTTTAGCCGCTGTTGGTGACATCATGATGGCTACTCCCTCGGTGTGCTCGTGCTCGTCCTCTGGGTGACCGGAGTAGATTATTGTCTCTCCAGTTGATAGTTGGCACCTTCCGCATCCGTTCCATCTGCTCTCGCAGATTCCCAACACATCGCATTTTAATTCCTAATTGTAATTTTATTAATTTGACCCTTGACCTAAAGTATTTCTACGATAATACTACAACCTTTCAACCCTACTATATTCTGCATCCAATCGCCGTGTTCATTAGACTTTGTGATTCAATTAATTTACCCCTTGACCCATCTACTATAAATATACGAATGTACAGCCTAGTTGATGACTTCGTCGAAAAGAACATTCTCTTTCATGTTGAAATAAAACTTGTGCACTGTGGTAGAGTATAATTCCATTATGGTTAAAATTTATTTTGATAAAGTCTCACAATGTTGTTATACAGTAATATGTACTGATCACGTTTCGAGAACAATTTATTTCTGCTGTTAATCATATCAAGGTACTCACACAACTTTCTAACTTCGTTTATATAATTCCATTATTTTCCATCGCTTGATTTGATTGGTAGTAGTATTTTCCATATTTCCGGTATAAGTGATGAGTCATTCCTATTGCATGTGTTGGGTGTAGATTCAATGAACAAGGATTCAGTAATCAACCTCTCTCTATCTCCACCTACCTGTATTACTTCATAGAATTTTGACTCTGTCCCACCAAGGTATTTTCTAAATTATATTATTTTGTCAAATTAGTTCCACAGGGTCCTTTAACCTATAGAGCTTGTCGCTGAGTGAGTTTGTAGATTTAAATACAACCACCCTAATTCCTGCTTTATTAAGAATCCTACGTAGGGTCTCCATTGTCCCCTCCTTATATGGTAAAACTGGAGGTGCCTTATTTTCTCTCTAATTTATGTTTTCATTACTAGTTTCAAAATTATTTTCATTTTGCTTTTGCCTTTTCCAATCTTCCTAATGAATTTTAAAGGATAGTTATTCAACACCAACGCTTCTTCTATCTGTTTTATTTCATCATTTAGGTCTTTTTTTGTGCTACTTACTGCCATTGCTCGGCTTGTTAAACACTTAACTAAGCCTGCCTTAATAGTTGAAGGATGAGATGAATAAAAGTCTAAATATCTATTAGCAGAATGCACTAATGTGTAGTTTACCTTCTGTGCGTTCACACACAACCACACTATAGGGTGAGTGGGAGAGGGTTTAAATTCTAAGAAGTAATACAGGTAGGTGGAGATAAAGAGAGGTTGATTACTGAATCCTTGTTCATCGAATAATCCACACCCGACACGTGCAATAGGAATGACTCATCACTCATACCGGAAATATGGAAAATACTACTACCAATCATCAAGTGAAGCGATGGAAAATAATGGAATTATATAAACGAAGTCAGAAAGTTGTTTGAGTACCTTGATATGATTATGAGCAGTAATAAATTGTGCTTGAAGCGTAGTCATCTGTAAATATTACTGTATAACACTGTGAGACCTTATCAAAATAAATTTTACACATAAAATTTTCTTCACTGCAACCATCTTTTTATTATTCCCTATGATCGACTGTGTATATTCCGTAATACATAAACACTTTTAACCTTTTCTACCTTTCATTTAATT